CAACAGAAAAGGCTGAATGTAATTATGCACAGTCATCTCAGTTACACTGAAAGTATAAATAGGAGGATCACGGCCAAGCCCTAGGCAAAAATGGAGACCCTATCTCAAAAACTAACCCAACAAAATGGGCTTACTTACTTCTGTTTTTGCCCCACCCTACAAACTATACATATACCCATAATACCATTAAGCCTGTCACCTCCAGAGGTTTTCTTGTATTCCCTTTTTTCTTGTTGTTGGTGGTGGTGGTCATGGGGCTTGAACTCTGGGCCTAAGCTCTGTCCCTCAGCTCTTCAGCTCAAGGCTAACGCTCTAGCGTTTGAGCTACAGCACCACTTCCGGTTTTCTGGTGGTTTATTGGAGATAAGAGTTTCACGGACTTTCCTGCCCGGGCTGGCTTTGAACTAGGATCCTCAGATCTCAGCCTCCTGAGTAACTAGGATTACAGGTGTGAGCCACCGACACCCGGCTCTTGTATTCTTCTGATAGGGTTTCTGAACTTTTTCTAATGTGTGTGAGTTAAGAACAGTTAACTGGAGATTTGTCTTCTTGACATATGTATGTATATATGTATACACACACACACACACACACACACACATATAATTGAAACAGGGTCTCCCTCTGTCACCCAGGTTGGCCTTGAACTTGAAATCCTCATGCTTCTACTTCCCAAGTGCTAGAGATTTAGGATGGCAGGTTTTGCACTATACCATGTCTTAACATAAAGCATACAATAATATGTTCTTAACTCAGTAGGGATACATGGCAGATCTCCAGAACGTGTTTGTGTTGCTCAACTGAAACTTTGTGCCTATTGAGAAACAGCCCCCAACATCTCCCTCTTGCCATCCTCTAGCTACCAACATCGTACCCTCTGCTTCTATGAGTCTAACCACTTCAGATATTCCATGTGGGCAGATATGACCCACTCTCCTTTTAGCACTTGTGGTCAGCCAGCGATTATCAGATAATCTCTCTCAGAATCACACAAAACACTACAACATCCAAGTGATTTCAGCCCTTGACTTCTCAGTCACAACCTCCCTGAGTAAGGCCAGGACGTGCATTTTGGAAAAAATATCTTGTTGTGCAACTCTGGTTAAGACTCATTGAATTCAAATCAATGAGCTCTGACATCTAACTGCTCAAGCACAATCCCATTTGGCTGGGACAAGGGAGGTCAAAAGGCTGATGGGATGGGACTGGCATAATCAGCGCTTGTCCCCAAGCCTGGCTTGATCCCTAAGGGGTGAAAAAAGCAAAGGCTGTTAGACTGTAAACATCCACACTCCCAAAGACAGAGCAAAGTTCCACTTGGAAAGTTGACCTGTGAGTTGTGAAGAAGTTTAAGGTGTCCTTCGCTCATCTGGATCTAGACTGAACCCTGATTCCTCTTGTCAAGGGCCAGGCTAGGCTCTGTAGTGGATTCTGGTTTCAGATTAGCATCTCACTTCCCCTCCAGCCCACATTCTACTTCCCAGTAGACACAGCTGAGAACATGTTTACTTACTGAGCATGATTTAATGAACAGCACCGGAATACTAGATTAACTATTTGGGGGTAAGTTAATTATAGCTGAGTGCTGGTGGCTCAGGCCTGTAATCCTAGTGACTTGAGAGGGCTGAGATGTGAGGATCAAAGTGTAAACCCAATCAGGGCAGAAAAGCCCTGGAGACTCTTATCTACATGAGACTCTTAACCAGCAAAAAGCTGGAAGTGGAGCGGTGGCTCAAGTGGTACACTGCCAGCCTTAAGCAAAAAAGCCAAGCGAGAACGGGAAGTTCTAAGTTCAAGCCCCAGTGCTCATACACATACACACACAAAAAAAAGTTAATTAGATAATAGCATGATGCTACATACATTTTAAGTACTTTTTTTAAAATAAGGTGCTTAAGGAGAATATTGAATGACCAAGGGGTTGATATTGATTGGAATATATTGGAAATATGTGTGGAAATTTGACAATAAAATCACCCCCATATAACTAACATAAGCTAATAAAAAATTAAGGAAGATATTCATTGGTGAATATCTAGCTTAAGAAGTGAAAAATACCAAATTTTAAAAGCCAGAGAAACTACAAAGGAATTGTTGAGATTCCACAATGAAAAGGTCATCAAAAACCACTGTAAGCAAAAGGAAAACAGCAAGCTAAGAAAATATTCGTAACAAACTTGAGCCTCCTAATTGTCTGGAGATAGAAATGGAAAACCATCTGCCTGGATCTCCATTCTTCAGTGTTCCCTTGATGATTGTGGAGCGGCCCAAGCCCACCCAGATGAACCACAAAACTTGTCTCAAAGATCAGGAATCAGTTGCAGATTTCCTCAGTCAATCAAGCCTAGGACTTGAAATATTGGGATTCATGTTTCAGAGCAGGTGTGTGTGTGTGTATGTGTGTGTGTGTGTGTGTGTGTGTGTGGTGTGTGTGGTGTGTGTGTGTGTGTGTGTGTGTGTGTGAATCTGACTTTTCCTGCCTTGAATTGTCATCCTCAGACTTCAGCCTCCTGCGTAGCTAGGATTATAGGCATGAACAATCTTTTTCTTGGATGATAACCTGGAAAACTGGCCAGATTTGGGAGCAGACTGTCTGTCAAAGGCCACTGCTGTGCTACCTGCACCCAACCTCTAGAGCAGCCAAAGCTGGCTCAGAACTGAGGGAGCATTGCCTCAAGTCTATCAGAATGCTCTACCCTATCTCAAAGCTTCCACATCAGAACCGTGGGAGTCCCTTCTACACAGAGCTGCCAAAGGGAAAACAGCTGTTCTCAGCTCTGGTTAGAAAAGCATAGGTCTGAGAGTAAGGGCTGTCTCTGGGGAAAAGGCTGGGAGACACATTCTCATCTAGTGTTCAACGTCGCTTTGTCTGCAGAGATGAAGACCCTGAAGCTTGGACATAAAGAGGCAGGCTCTCAAGACCAGAATGAATGGTTTATGCCTATAATCCCATCTATTCAGAAGGTAATCAGGAGGATTGGGACTCAAAGCCAGCCAAAGAATTAGCAGGACCCTCCCCTTTCCTCATCTCAACCAAGAAGCTAGGGATGATGGCATGCACCTAACATCCAACAACATAGGTAGGATTAGTAGGCTGGCCCTGCCAAGCACTCCAGTCAGAGTTTATCAAAACAACAACTAAAGTGAAAAGGGGCGGGGAAACACAGTTCAAATAATAGAGCACCTGTCCAGCCAACCGAAGGCCCTGGATTCAAAACCCAGCAGATCAAATAAAGGAACCCCACATCCCTTCCAACTTTTGACAACCCATCATCAAGGACAAAGAACTTTGATCAAGTATTTTTCCCTGTTTGGAAGGGGCTAGAAGAGGTTGAAAAAAAAAGGGCAGGAGGTGAAAGCACATAAAATGAATTATGCCTTTCCGTAATATTGCCCATTACATGATGAAATGTTTGTGTAAGACCTGCTGCTGTTTGCAAGGGCTGAGTTAAAGGTATGGAGAGAATAAGGCCTGACATGCCCATCTCTAACACCTTGCTGGAGACACACAGCACCATATATTTATCAAGCCTAAAGAACTATAACTATAAAGCATGAAATCTACAGTAAGCCATGAACTCTACTTTCTAGTAATGTACTCACATCTGCCCATCAACTATAACAGATAAACCTCACTAAAGTCAGTTGTAAGAGGGAACAATGTATAGTGGAAGAGGGAGGGAGACAGCTCTATATTTCCCACACTTTCCCATCAACCTAACTAAACCTGTAATCCCAACAAAAGGCTTAAGCAAGGTATCTGAGAGTTCAAGGCCAAATAAAAAAAGTTCGATCAATGTAAACTACATGGACACATCTTCCCTCCTAAAATGCAGGCACTAGATGATCTTTGTTCAAATGTTCTATTTAAAGGAACAAAAGGGTAGCTGAGAAGTTGAAGGGTCCCCACCATAAATGTCAATTAAAGACTCTTAGCCCTCCCTCCCTTCCAAAAAAGATCCCACAATGCACTCCGTTGGTGTATTTCAATGTTTTATTGATCTGGCAACTGCAAAATATACAAATTTCTCAAAGGCATCCCTTGTTTGAAAATGTAGCATAGCTTCATCCCAGGTCATTAATTCAGACAAATATATATACAGAAGTCAAAAAAAAAAATCACACACATAAGGCCCCCCCTAAACCAATTAACAAATGAAACCCAATCTAGACAGCTTTCTATTGTTTAGGCTCCCTTATACATATTAAATAAATAAATAGCACATCTGCTATCAAAATAATAAAAAAATAAATTTCAAGTATTACAAATGAAAAGATCATTGGTGTGGTTCAGTTTTTCTACTCTCCCAAAGTGAAGAGCTTTGCCCATGATCAATGGAGAATGAGAAACTCACCCAAAAACATATGCAAAGTTAAAGACATTGGTCCCTGTTGTTTTGTTTGCGGAGGTTGGGGAGGAAACCAATAGAAGCAAAAAGTTCGATGACTTAACTACATCAGACTCCTCAAGCCCTCAAAATCAGGTCAAACTGGCTTTCCAATGAAGCAGCATATTACCTTCTCCAAGATCTGACCTTAGTTTCGTGCGTTCTCCTCTTCCAGGCCCTTTTACCAAACTGAAGTCCTGTGTTAGGCAAACCTTTCTTCATGTATTGATTTTAGGTCACCACAAATGCAAGGGAAACATCCACTGTTATCCAGGCCCTACCTGTCTCAGACTGGAGAGTTTATGTTCAAAGAGTTGGTTCCAAAGAAAACAAGCAAGGAAGAGGCCAGAAAGTGGCACCTAATAAATGTAAAGCTACAGTCGGGCGATGATGGCTCGGTGCCTGTAATCCTAACTACTCAGGAGACTGAGATCTGAGGAACATGGTTCGAAACCAGCCCAGGCAGCAAAGTCCATGAGAGAGACTCTTATCTCCAATTAGCCACCAGAAAGTCAGAAGTAGAGCTATAGCTCAAGTGGCAGAGCATTAGCCTTGAGCCAAAGCTAAGGGCCAGTGCCCAGGCACTGAGTTCAAGCCTCAGTACCAACACACACACACACAGACTACCAGTGCCTCTGATCTCAGAATACAGCCAGCCGCACATTTCACGTGCATGTGCACACTCAGCAGTCTGCCAGGACTCACTGGACTGTCCATTCAAAGAGGGGTGGGGCTAGTGGGGAGAATTTGAATGTTTAGTGTGGAAAACATACAACCTTTATTGCAGGGTATCTGAAGAATATTTCTGTGCCCCATCTAGCCCCATCTAGAGAAATGTATATTCTTAAACTCCTTCAAAACACAGAGCCAGATGCTGGTGGCTCATACCTGTAACCCTAGCTACCCAAGAGGCTCAGATCTGAGGACTGTAGTTTGAAGCCAGCCTAGGCAGGGAAGCCCATGAGATTCTTATCTCCAGATAACCACAATAGCCAGAAGTAGGCTGCAGCTCAGAGGTTCAGCCTTAAGTAGAAAAGCTAAAGGACAGTGCCCAGGCCCTGAGTTCAAGCCCAGGGACCAGCACAAATAAAATAACTCATCTCTCCACTGCAAGCGTCATGTGTCTGTACCCCTACTCCAACCCTCACCCCAGGATGCCAGACCTCACAAGCAGAAGGCATAAAGTGACTTTTGGCACCACATGAGATATCCTTAAAAGGGTCATTTGGGAAAACTGTATTGCTGAGTTTTCAATTTTTTTCTTTCCCTAAATTTCTGACATTCCACCCCGCCACCTCCACCGCCCTGGAATTTGAAATGACAAAGGAGGAGGCACTGGTGAGCAGAAGCCATGGGTGTTTCCACCCACCTGTCCCACAGGCCATACTTTCAACCCCTGCTCCGCATGTTACAACACCAGGACAGCAAGGAAAAGGTGCTCTACACTCCTGAGCACCCCACCACGGTGCTAGACACACAGCGGACACTTGACAGAAGCACGGGGGCAGCCCGCAGAGAATGTGTCCCCGGAGGGAGGCCTAACTTGGACCATCCCCTCCCTTCTGAGAAACATGAGAGGAGATCAGGTCTTCTCTGTGTCTTCTCACACAGTTAAGTCTTGTGATGATTGGAAGGTTCCGGCTTCATCCCACTCTGGGGCTTGCTCAGCTTCTCATATTCTAGCATCCAAGTTCCAAGTCAAGGTGTGACTTTCACTTCACACACACACACACACACACACTAATAATAATAATTAAAAAGAAAGAAAAGAAAAAAGTGCAATGCGAACAGCTCCAGGAGAACAATTGGCTCAGGTGCTTCCAGATCCAGGTAGGAAAACCCAGGGACCCCTAGAGCTCCCTGGGAAAGGAGACCCCAATGATCACATCCACAGTTCTTCCTTCCACTCAGGTAGCCGGTCTGTCCTTAACTCAGGGCTGCAAAAAACGTGTGAGAGCTGGGCATGTACTGCTCAGTTGACGAGCAGGTCTCAGCTTTCCCGAGGGATCTCTCTCAGACAGAAGTCCCCAAGTCTCTTCTTCTCCAGGGACATTTCCCCAGTCCCACAATGCATAAAAATAGCTAGGTAAAGGCTTCCCGACATCTCCTAGCCTTCGACCACTAAAACCCAGCCCTTATTCAGTTCCAAGATTGCCAACCTGGTGGCCCTGGCTATCACCATGTCAGGCCAGAATCACAGAAATAAAACAAAACTGCACAGTGGCACTCTGTGTCCCTTCTCCAGGCCTTCTGTCATCTACCCTCCCCCCCCCAAGCCTCATGGGAGGTAGCTGAAGGCCAGATATCCCTGGAAGCCCCAAGAGAGCAGAAGACGAGGAGGTCTGCCACTTGCCACAGGAAGCGGGGACCCCATGGCCTTCCGGTGTCTCCATAGTCACTGCTGGTGGGGGGCAAGAGGGGGTGCAGCAGACTCTCCTGCTCCCCTACCTCACCCCAGTCCAGAAAAGTCCTTGGCATCATTTGGTCTCAGGTAGACAGGAGGGCAGAAGCCAAGCAGCAGAAATGGAAATGGAATGGAACTGATGCATCGTCTTCAGGGTTTACTGGAAGCTCCATTGCTTTTCATGTTCTGTTCGTAAGAGAGAAGGAGAGAAGAGAATCAGGACTGACTGCTGACAGTGTGTGTCGCAAAGCCATGCCATGGAGACCGCTTTCCCACCTTCCACACCCCGAGACAACAGTTATCATGAGACAGATGAGAGGGTCCAGGTAGGCCTCAGAACGGGACAGCAAATACTGCAGGCCACGGTCACGGAAGAGGCTAGACACAGCCAGCAGCCTGCTTAGCACCAGCCGAAAGGAAGCAGGGAAGAAAGATAGTGAGACTGACATGAGACTTAGGATCCTCCGGGTCCTGTAGATCAGACAGAGCTACTTACAGAGAATGGAGGACCATGGGACACAGGTGGGAGACCTTATTCACACCTCTTTAAGTGACCCCCCCAACTGCCTCTGTACCCCACAGAGGGGCCCCTCCTCACCACGCCCAGACAGAGGGCAGGATGAGGACATCTCAAGTAGGACAGGCTTCTCTTGTGCAGCTCAGCTAACAAGAGAGCTTTACACTCAGCTCCTGGTGTCTGGAATCCAGTCACGGGAGAAGACAGGCACGGGGTGAGACAGCTGGAGCTGGTGGGGAACTCTGTCCTGGCCCTGAACTCAGGCGTCCTAACAGAAAGCCTCCCTTCTCAGCCACTGGAGTAAGAACCCCCTCTAAAAAACATCCATTCAGCTGGGGTCACATGATGGCTGCTAATACCAACAGGGAATTCTCTCTGAACTCCTTAGTCTATCCTTCAAAAATAGAGACACAACTTTTCTTAGTATTCCCTTTGATCTTTTCAGCAGCTCCTTCCACCTCAAGATGTTCTACAGAGGACAGGATCCTAGAGAGAGGATCCAGACAGTGGTATACAAAGAGCTGCCCTTACCCCCATAGAACTAAGGGTGCCCGCTGGAGACATCTCTAGAAAGGGAACTCTCAGAACCGGATGACCCCAGAGCCAACCACTCTCAGCTGGGTGGGACTCAGGAGCCCACGTGACCAAAGCCCTCAGTGAGAGGGTGGATCTCTGGCAGTGTCCTGGATCTTGCATCTACAGAGCACTAGCCAAGTTGTGGGTTGAGCAGGGACACGGGGAGAGTGAAGGCTACTGCTAGCTCCAACATTGGACATCAGAGGCCCATGACCTCCAGTACCCATGTGGCATTAGCCAGGCAACAACAACAGAGGACAGCTACATGATGGTTAGGTCCATATCGTTCACTCACAGGGCCCCTGGTGTAGGACACATGGAGGCGGAACAGACAGACGGAAGAGGACCTAATGACAATGATACCACTTGTAAACCCCTCCAGCACCAACACACAAGCCACATAATCCACAATGGCCAATCTGGACAAGACCAAAATGCCCTGTGGCTGAGATGCTATGACTAGGAGAGATGCAAGAAGGGACAGAGAGGGACATGCACTGGGTCGTTTACCTTTCCAAAGTTAGTAAGGAGAAAACTTTGAGAAAATGTGACAGACAGTTCGTCTTTCAAGCGTAGTGGGAAAGAGAAAAAACAAAACACAACAGGTTGGAAAATGGGAAGTATATGTATACATCAGTAGTATTTTGTCTGTAGTATACATTTGTCATTTCAAAATAAAGGCTTCATCTTGAATGCCTACTGGACTTTCAGTCTCAAACAGTTAACACAGCCCCCCCAGCAGTGTCTGGGCCATTGTCATTCTCCAATTTGAGCAGAAAACCAAGATCACAGGCCTCAGAACCCAGGGGCTTCCCTCCTTCCAAATCTCAGTGCTCCAGCTGCTCATGGATAGAAATCTCAAGCCCATTGGCACAGAGCAAAGGGGACAAAAACACAGATTCAAACCCAAAGAGTCTGCTCATCAACTACTGAGTAACAGCAGCTACCATCTGCCAGGCCCCTCCAAGATGACAAATACTTTGCCAAGGGGGAGAGAAAAAAAAAAGGCTCAAAATCCCTTGCAGAGTTACTTTCTCCATTTTATAGATGAGTGCCAAATACAGTGGCCAGCAGTAAAACTGAGACACAAAGCTGGCCTGTTCTGAATTTCATAAACAATTTTGGCCATCAAAATTCCTAAAATCAAGACATTATTTATGATCCAACACAATGGCTCACACTCCTGGCCTGGTCTAGGAAACTGACCAGATTCTTTAGGAGATACTTTTGTTAAATGGAAGGGATTCTGGCCAAAAGTACAGTCAGCTTTACCTTGGTGATGGACAAAGTCCAGAAGATATGGGGATGAACCTGAATGGCCTGAGTAGCAGAAACATTTTGTTTCAGGCTCCAACATCCCAAGTGATTTTCACACAAGAACCCCTGATCCCTAACCCTTGTGCTGGTGTGGTGGCTCCAAAGGGACAGCAGACATTGCACTGTGATGATGTCTTACTCTTTAAAGATGGAAGGTAATGCCCAGTATTAGGCCATGGGAAGCAGCTACAAATGAAGGTGCTGCTTACTGAAGCTCAGATGCCAGACATCAACTAAGGTGCTGAACATGTTCCTTATGCTGCAAAGATCAGCGATCTGGGGACACACAAATAGGAAGACAATATCCGGGCTATTCTAAGAAGCTGGTAGAAAGGAAAAACCTCCCCTTTGAAAGCACTCTGCCCATGTGGCTCCACTGCCTACCAGCTAGTGGTTGTGGGCACTTTTAAGCAAGACAGGAACTGCCCTGCCAACCTCCTAGTGTTATTGAAGGCCAAGAGGTGTGAGGGTTGGGATAGCCCATTCTTCATGAGCTCTATGGTACCTCCATGAGCCAGGCATGATGCCAAACCATTCCTGCTTCCCCCAAAATGAGCCCTACTCTTCAGCTCCTAAGTCTAACTTTCACCTCCCCAGTTCCTGCATCAGCTTACCAAGGTTAATTCATGCACACAAAAGGAATATTGAGGGAGATGGGACTGGAACAGTGCGGTGACATTTTTATGGTGGTTGTTCCACAAAGGTCAAGGGTCCATCTGCAGTGGAGATCACCAGAACAGAAGACACACTGCATCATCTAGCTGGTAGCAGCCAGAGATAATACTGAACTAGAACTTTCTACAGAGAGCTCTGACTGAAGGAAGAGGTAACGTGATAGGTCTGATGTCCAAGCTGTACACAATGTTGACCAGGACTTACAGCTGACTAGGGTCCCATACAAGATCAACTGGATCCCCAAGTAGGGTTTCCATGTACAGTTCACCAAAGTCCCTGGAACATCTTGGAGAGGAGAGGTACTTCCTCATATATTTCTTTCATAGATTAGACTCTGGGTAAAATTTCCTTTCTGAATGAAAGGATGCTCTTCAGGGAAAAGATAAGACATAAAAAGTTCAAACCCAAAGCCATCCCAGACAGGAAAGCCTATGAGACTCTCTAATTAACTATCAAAAAAATAAAAAGAGCCAGAAGTGGAGCTATGCCTTAAGTGGTAGAGTGCTAGTTTTGAGCACAAAAACTCAAGGACAGTGCCCTAGGTACCGAGTTCAAGCCCCAAGACTAGCACAAAAAAAAAAGAAAAATCAAAAACCCCAAACTTCAGACCTTACCACCCCAAGAGGGAAATTTTGGATATATACCAAGCCCCAGACCCCAAGCACTTCAGACATAACCTAGAACAGGGACTACAAAGAAGCATGTGGTGACCTCTACAGTGTGGGGACACCTGAACGAACATCAGTGGACCCACCACACCTTACATCCCGCACTAGAAAATTCCTGAATTCTCTTCTCTCCTTCCTCCCAAGTCCATCTCCTCCTCCTCCTTCTCCACAGAAAACCTCAGATGCTAAGAAAAAAAAAAAAAACAAAACTGTCCTATCCTCAATATTTTAACTGGCAAGAGGCCAAACTGGCCCAGCAAGCAAGAAAATGCAAGCAACAGAATTATTCAGAGAGAAATACTTACAGACAGGCTTTCCCTAGCAAAGGCTGCAGGAGAGAAAGTGGGGAAAGAGAGAAAAGTCAGTCAGGATACAGGATGCCACGTCAAGGGTGAACCCCAGCCTACCTCCCACGCGTGGTCCAGCCAACAGCTCCCGACATTTTCAGGACTCCTAACGGATTGTCCTGGCACAGTCAGGGCAACTCTGAACTGAGGGACAGGGCTGACCCTGCCATAGCAGCCCACATGGCCAAGTCAATGGACCTCTGTGCCCACCATGGCCCTTTCCTCACGTATCAAACCCCCGTAATGCACCTGTAGAATGGCCTAGAGATGCTACTTCAGTATTGCTCAGTTTTCAATTTTAAACTCTCAGATTAGGGAGCTGAAAGGAATATTTATTAGAGTTCTCCCAGCAAAGGAAACTGAAGCACAGGAAGGTGAAATGAGGAAAAGTGACCTGCATTTTCTCAGGAAAAAAAAAAGGTTGGGGGGGGGGCAGGGGACAGGAAGAGCACGAATTCAAGGCCAGATTAGACTATATAGCAAGACCTGGTCTCAGAAGGTTTTGAAAACTCCTACACTTTTGTGCTACAGGTGGATCTATTACTGAAGCCGAACTCCCAACTAATAATGGCTGAGGGCTCACTAGATACAACCTTATTATTGCAAGCGTGATTGCCATTCCTTGGATGCAAAAACTGAGGCCTGGGGAAGTTAAATGACCTACAGAGGCCTTATTGCTCTCCCCACAGCACATTCCAGATGCCAGGAGGTGAAAGAACCACCAGGAAAGACCCAAAGAGTTGGTGGGTGGGTTGTAGATCAATGCCCCTACAAGTGATTTGATATCAAGCTCATGAACAAATCCAATCTGGAATTCAGCCTACATTGATTTGTAAGGGGCCACGCGTGGAAGTACCAGTAGGCTAGACCCTTGGGTAACACCTGAATTGGAACCCAGAGATTTCTTTCTATATCTCACATACTTGCAAAGGTTTGGGGCCAAAAGCAAACCTTTATATTAAGCCCAGGTACCAAAATCTTCTAGCTTTTGATCCTGAGCTAGGAAAACAAGTGAAATCTGGTTGGCTTGCTTTCTTCTGGTTCTTACTACCTGCTGAAATAGGTGTTACAAACAAAAGGCTCCTTCTGGTCATCCAGCCTGAGAGCTGGTCTGCATACTTCTACAAATGCCAAGGTGGCTCATCACTGTGGAACCCAGCCTTTCTGCAGTGGGGATGACTGTAAGAGAGCACTGAGCTGTGGGCTACAACAGAAAATTGTATCCAAGGTCCACAGAGATGGATGAAGACTCTTGGACTGAGGATTGCTATGGACTTTTAGAAATCTCTAGTCATAAATGAGAACAAGAAGCCAGGTGCTGTGAGGGCTCATTCCGGTAATCCTACCTATTCAGGTGGCTGAGATCTAAGGATCACAGTTCAAAGCTAGTCTAGGCAGGAAAGTCTGAGGCTCATATCTCCAATTAACCACCAGAAAACCAGAAGTGGTGTTGTGGTTCCAAGTGGTAGAGTGCTAGCCTTGAGAAAAAGAGCTCAGGGACAATATTCAGTCCTTGAGTTCAAGTCCCACAATGGACAAGAAAGAAAAGTGAACCAGATTCAGACATTTTACTCTTTGTTTTCTGCTCTATCTGGTTCTGCCCAGTGAACACCACCACCTTAGATAGGGTACCCAGACAGTCACAATCATTGTCAGTAAGGAAAGATAGTCAGATAGGGTTTTTCTTTATCCCTCCCCAAAATTTGTGCATACACACACACACACACACACACACACACGCACACGCACACGCAATACCACCTACACCACACAATACAGAACACACATACATACCCACCCATGACTACACAGCACACAGGCTCTCACCCCTCCCCACCCCCCACTTCAAGGCAGGAAGAAGAGGGGAGTCACTGACTTGTCCGGGCAGCTGCGTGGGCACCTCCGGGGGCAGGCAGCTGGGCAGGGCAGCAGAAGTGGAAGCCACATGCTCCTCAAAGCTGTTGATGCGAGGTTTTTTGGTGGGTTCGGGACTGGCTAGTGGGGTGACACTATTGCGTCTCATGAGCGGGTTAGGTCCCTTCTTTGCATCCTAAGCAAGACAAAGACAAAAGAGAGAAGGCGACAGTTACAAGGAATGGGGAGGAAGGGAGAGGAAGGGAGCTAAGCCCCACACACACACACACACACACACACAAAATTCACCTGCTTGTGGGTTTTAGGGGTACAACCAGACAGCCCAAGACGAGAGAGCAGAGAACCCTGCCATGTGTACTGTCTCTCAGGTGGTGTCAGGGTGATCCCTTCCTGTGTTCTTCCCTCAGATCATTCCTAAGGGTGCCCACACAGGCGTGGGTAAAGCCAGGGGGGGAATCACTGCAGCTAACCAAGTCAGAGAAAAAGGACCCTGCCTGTCCTAAGCCCCTCACCCTGACTGAGCATGGCCTACAGAGCGGACAACTGAGCCAGGAGACGAGCAATATGGACAAATCCACTGCCGATGGGTCTGGCAACCAGGAGCAAACACCAACATCTATCAGAGGACACCATGACAGGTCCCAGAGCTCCCCACAGAGCAGGGCGTAGGACATCCGATATGCCCAGTGCTCCACAAACAAGCGTTCGAGGCCAGGGCTGTCCTCTTCCAGCTTAGGCAAGCACAGTATCTTTGGATCCCTCATTCCAGAGAGGGGAGCTAGAGACACAGCAAGGAATGCTTCCACCGGGTCCAGAGTGGCAACTGGGCAGCTAACTGGTTGGCATCTCATGCACTCTTTCTGTGTTGCTGGTTTGTGTTGGTTTTTGTTTTGCTGTGTTTTTCCTTGAGGATCTCTTTATAAAATCCAGACTGACCTCAACCTGGAAATCCTGCTGCCCACCAATGCACAGACCACTCCCAGCCTCATGTGCTCACACAGCCCAAAGATGATGGCTAAGTTCCGTGGAAATACAGAAATCACCTGTGTTTCAGACTCCATCAACAGAAAGCCACGCTCAGCCTAAGGGGAAGGCCTACCTATACTGACAAAGGGTTGCATTTGGAGCAACAGCCTGCATGGAGCAAATTCAAACTCACTTGTACACTGCATACCTGGACAGAAAAAGGATCTGCTCTGTAGAGGATTCATGGGACTAACCCACCCCAGATCCCAGCCCTCCTTGAGGTGAAAAACAAGACAGCCAGGCATCCGGGTCCCTGAGCATCATTCCATTGGCTGTTCATCATGTCTCCCCGCCTCCAGCCCTGCTGCCTTTCTCAATGCAGTCAAACTCTTGTTAATTCTGACTTAACCACAGGCAGACAACTGGCCTATCCTGTTGGAACCAGGCTTCTGGAACTTTCCTGAAAGCACAGTTGTAGGGATCTGAAGAAACAATAGTTCCTGGGTTTGGGCTATGTTTAAAAGAGGAGGCTTTAGAAGGAAACACTGGGAGACAGCCAGGGAAAGGGTGACATTGTCCAAAAAGTAATGTGCTGTTTACCTGATTTATGTAATTGTAACCTCTCTGTACATCATCTTTATAATAACAGTAATAAAATTTTTAAAAAGCCAGGCACAGGTGGCTCATGCCTGTCATCCTAGCTACTCAGGAAGCTGAGATCTAAGAATCACAGTTTGAAGCCAGCCTGGACAAGAAAGTCCATGAGACTCTTACTTCCAATTAACCACCAGAAAACCAGAAGTGGCGCTGTGGCTCAAAGTGGCAGAGCGCTAGCCTTGAGTAAAAAAGCTCAGGGTCAGTGCCTAGGCCCTGAGTTCAAGCCCCACAACAGACAAAAAAAAAAAAAAAAGAGCATGTCAGTCCCTCTTTACAGTACTCACTTTACTAGTCAGGTGGAGATGTAGAAAGCATACAAAGACTGGAAAAGGATAAATAGATCCTGTGAAGAAGCCACAGGAAAGACAGGGCAGGAACACAGAGGGACTGACTGAGGCAGGCAGCCGGCCAGACCTAGTACAGACAAGGTACTGAGCAAGAACCTAGGCATGGAGCACCCTGAGGACCCAAGGCCAGGCTAGGGAGAGGGCCAGACTCACCTCTGACCTCTCTCGGTGTGTGCTCACGGACTCCACATTCAGGTAAATGGATTCCACACGGCAACCTGAGCACGAAGACAGAGGAAGATGACTTTTGTTCAAGGGACCACCCCACCTACAACATCCCACCCACAGGAAGACACAGGCACTCGGGGCAGGGCTTGGCAAAGGCTGTGACTCACCGTAAGCAACAGGTGTCAGTTTCAGGACGGTGTGAAGAGGACATTTCAGGTAGGGCATCTCTTCTGGAGAGAGACATAGGGTCCACAATTAGATATGAGGCTGGAGGCAGGGAGAGGGAGAAGGATATCCTCTGGCCCACCATGAGTTTCTGCCCTGTAGGGACCCCAAAGGCTGAGCCCACACAGGAGTATTGGCCCTTCCTGCAGGCGCCCTGGATAAAGACGCCTAGCCAAAAGAACATAGTTTCAAAAAAACTACTGAGGGCTGGGAAGGTGGCTCAGTGGTAGAGCGCTTGCCTTGCATGTGTGAAGCCCTGGGTTCGATTCCTCAGCACCATATAAGAAAAAAGAAAAAAGCCGGAAGTGGCGCTGTGGCTCAATTGGTAGAGTGCTAGCCTTGAGCTGAAGAGTTGAGGGACAGCGCCCAGGCCCAGAATTCAGGCCCCACGACCGGACCCCAAAAAAAAAAAAAAAATACTACTGGGCCTGGTGTTCACACTTACAATCCCAGCACTGTGTAGTCAGAGAAGGAGTATGTCTAGTTCAAGGCTAGACTGGGATTCATAGGAAATTCCAGATCGGCCTGAGCTGTCTAGGGAGAGAATGAGCCTGTCTCAAAAACCAAAACTAACAAAACCAAAGCAAACAACTCAAAAGGTGGATTAAAAGTTGTTGGTTTTGTTCTGTGACATTTTAAGTCATTTTCCACACAATTTTAGGTGTGTCTTGGGATTCAACTGCAGCTGGGCAGACATAAAGATGATATTATGATGGTTTCATTGGTTTCCTGAGCTGTGTGTTCCTCGGAAGGGGGCCGGGGAGGAAGGATGGCCCTCGATACCCAGCCTAGAGGCCCTTAGATAAGTAGAGGCTGAACCGTGATGTCATGAAGCCCACAAGGGCCCTAACAGCCAGTACGAAAGCGCTAGAGGAGAGAGACCTCTGCAGAAGGCTGTGGGCCAGACCCCAGCCCCGCTTGCTCTAACATTCCGATGGGTAAGCAGGGTAAACAACAGCGACCCAACACTCAGGCCACTTTCCTGCCTCCCTCCCAAAGCACGGCCTGCCTGTGGTACCTGCACTCTTATCCAGGAAGTAGGCTAGCAGGCAGCGCAGGACAGCCTGGTGGCAGATGACTAGCACATTCTCCTGGCGCTCCAGCTCCATGATCACGGGCTCCAGGCGCTGGACCAGGTCCTGGTAGGACTTAACACAGAGGGATAGGGGGCCATGTTGGAAGAGAAAGCACTTGGGGAAGAGCCAGTGTCATTCCCTCCCTACTACTAGCCTTCCATCATCACGGACCAGACAGCTCCATTCATCCTCCCATCCATTCATCCACCAACCCATCCCTGGACATTTGGTGAGATCATCCTGAGGGGACATAAGCCTGCTGGGTCTGTCTGTCTGTCTGTCTGTCTCTATCTCATCTCCTTCCTACTGTTTCCTAACTGGTAAGGGATGGCAGAAGTTGGGAAGGGACAAGTCTACAGTGGAATGTTACTCAGCCATCAAAAGGAAGTCCTAACACACCACTATAACATGGAGGAACTTCGAAAGCTTTATGGTGAGTGAAAAAAGCCGAGCACCAAAGTTCATATATTTAGTATGATTCCATTTCCAGGGTTGGCAGCTCCATAGAAGCAGAAAAGGGAAGCAGAGGGACCGACTCTTAACAAGGCTGAGGTCTCCTTGTGGTGAGAGGAAGGTTCTAGTTAGTGGTGATGGTAGCCTGGCACTGTGAGTACAGAAGGCTCAAGACAGAATTTATAACATGTAGGAGAATATGTGTAGGTCGTATGCAAATACCATCTTATATAAAGGACTTGAGTATCTACATATATATGATGGTACTGGAGCCAATCCTCTGAGGACACAAAGGAACAACTGTATCTTAAAAGTAACTGACTTGAAAATCGAGTGCTGGTAGCTCACACCTGTGATCCTAGCCATTCAGGAGTCTGAGATCTGAGGATCGCAGTTCAAAGCCAGACCAGGCAGGAAAGTCTGTGAGACCCATATCTCCAATTAATCACCAGAAAACTGGAAGTGGTACTGTGGCTCAAAGTGGTAGAGCACTAGCCTTGAGCAAAAGAGCTTAAGGCCTGCACAGTCTAACTCCTTGCAAAAACTGACTCAACATCTCATTTCTTCAAGCTTCTCCCACTATGGACTATCAGCTGCACTTCTTAAAACTATTAAATAGATTCTTTGGTTTGTTTGACATGCAACTCAGTGTAGTTTTGCTATCTACATGTCCTGGTTCAATCCAAGAAGGAAGGAAGGGAGAAGGGGAGGGGAGAGGAGGGGAAGGAAATCCAGAATCATATATTTCCAAATGGTTAAAACAATGAAGTCTATGTTACATAAACTTTATGCCAGTTTTTTTTTTAACTGTAAGAAGGGGTAGATTGTCACTTTCAAAAAATAAAATGCATAAAAAGAAATGTTTTTGGAGAGACCAGCACAGCTCCTATTCACGCTGGCCCTCCACCACCCTCCCTTCTCTCCTAAACCGGTCCCAGTGAGGCCCCAGTGAGGCAAGTGTGGGACCAGAGGAGGGACAGGCTGCTGGCCCAGCAGGGACTGAGAGCTGACAAATGGTCAGAGGGCATGAGCAGGAAGGACGCCCACCGGGTGTTAACGCACCCACCTGGCCTGCCTCCCGGAGCCCTGCATGACTTGGCACACCCCATTCTCATTCAGAGCAGCCGCGTGCTCAGCCACACTGGGAGATGTGCACCCCAAATGGAAATGCCCTCCCACACCAGTGTCCACTCGGGCCCTAACACAAGACAAGCAAGGCCACATCCTCACAGGGGGCCTGTCCACCACTGCAACTGCAACCTCTGAGGGTGCGGGTGGGGGGGAGCCTTGTCTGAAGTGAGTCACAGGCCATCCACCTCCCTCATTCCCTCATCTTAGCCTCTTTTCCTGGAGAGATGCATGCACACCCCTCACTTTTGCTTATGAGAAAACACACCCACATACACGGCTCCATTCAGGACAGCTCATGTTCAAGGTTGCAGTGGGAGGAATGAGCTACAGAATACAAGGTTCCTGGAAGGGGTTATCCAGCCAGCTGGTCATGGGGGCAGGGGGGTCCCCTTAGACCTCCAAAGCTCTCAAGTGAATCATACACATAAGACTTGCAAAACGGTGACCCCCTGCTCACCTCGCCCGTGGGGTAGCGGTAGTAGTACTTGTCTTGCTCGCGCAGCGCATACTCCTCAGGATAGGTGTCTCTGATCTCCTCGTAGGTCAGCTCCTCACACACGCCCTAGCAGAGAACAGCAGCATTCAACCCAGGGCATTGCACCCACAGGGGCGGCCCAGAATGCAGGGATATGATTTCAGCAGATCCACTGGACAACGCCCCACTCCCAGTCCAGCCCCCTCCACAGCCCTGAGACTCACAGCGTCGATCTCGTTGAGCGCCTTCCACTGCTCGTAGGGGAGTCGCAGTGCCTCGGCTGTCTGGATGGTGCTCTTCAGCTGGCTGGTCCACACACGGAGGTCCTTCAGGTTCTGCTCCTCCACAAACTTGCTCAGGGCACTGGCAAACTGAAGGGTTCAGGGGACACAGGGCTCATTGACTCAGGGATCCTTCATCTCCCAGAGGCATTGGGGACAGGGGGCAGGGAGCAGGGAAGTGCCCCAAAGCATATTAAACTGGTGCCAGGAAATTGGGCGCTTAGAGGCACATGCCTGTAATCCCAGCTACTCAGGAGGCTGAGAGCTGAAGATCATGGTTCCAAGCCAGTCCAGGCAGGAAAGTCTGTGAGACTCATCTCTAATGAACCACCAAAAAGGTGGAAATGAAGCTTTAGTTCAAGTGATAATGTACCAGCCTAGAGTAAAAAAGGCTAAGGGACAGTACCAAAGCACTGAGTTCAAGTCCTACTACTGAAGCATATGTGTGCACGCCTGTGTGTGTGTGTGGACACACACACACACAAGCTGGGCACCGGTGGTTCACACCTATAACCCAAATTACTCAGGAGGCTGAGATCTGAGGATTGCAGTTCCAAGCCAGCCTGGGCAGGAAAGTCTGTGAGACTCTTAAACTATTCACTCCCCTACTAATGGGAGCTGGCCTCCTGCGAGGCTCCATGAGTCAGTCCGACAACCAGCTGCCATCTGCTTCTATCTATATCTACCTTCTTGCCTCTGCTGGACAGGCCTGAGTCACCCCCGATCTTGCCCTGGAGGTTGAACTCGTTCTCGCCGTGCCGACACAGGTAGATGGTGCGGGGCTGCACGTGGATGTTCATCAGGTAGTACACAATGCGGCTCTGGATGTGGTCCTGAACTCTGTTCACCAGGAATCTGCGGCCAACGTCTATCACTTTGATCAGCGACAGGTCCCTGTAGAGAAACACCACTGAGGACCACGGGACCAGCCTGCCCTACCAGCACAGCCAGCCCCAGGCCTGGCCAGCTTCCAGAAGATTCCAACCCTGAGAGACCAGCAGTGTTGAACTGGACATATGACCCCAGGATACAAACCAAGAAGTCAGGGAATAAAATAAATGCAAAACCATCTCCATAATATATCTTAGTCAAGAGGAGAACTAATCTCTCAGGTGAAGGAGAAAAAAGAAAGAGAATAGAAAAGAAAATGAAGTGTCAGAAGGCAATGGTGATACTGGATTCAACAGTAAGTTTACAAGATTTGTATTGACATGGGTTTGTTCAGTCAAGGTATTTGGTGTGGCTTGTTTGTTTGTTTGCTGAAGCAGGGTCTTGTATATAGTTCTGGCTGCCCTGGATCTCTTGATCCTCCTGCTTCACTGTGCCAAGTACTGAGATTACACATGCAATACCATGCCCAACTTAGACAATTCTGAGACTGAGCCTATTGGCTTCATGCATCCTAGGCAAGGATTCTCTGCCACTTAAGTCATGCCAAGTTCTTTTGTTCCTATTTCTTGTTTTTTGAGATAGGTTCTAACTGTGCCCAGACCACCTGGAACTCTAGATCCTCTGGCCTTAAGCTTCCCAAGTGCTGAGTTATAGGTATGCAATGCCAAGTCCAGCTTCAATGACGTTTTTATGAATGCCTTTAAAAAAAAGTAATACCTTTTTTAATGAGTATATGGACATATCTGAGGGTAAGTGCTTTTGCAGGAAAAAAAGTCCTAAAAATCCTTCACCAATGAGAATTACCTGTCACATTTATCAGGGTCAAGGGGCTGGTAGCTGGCTTCATAGCAATTGATTCTCTTCATGAAGTCGTCCATGGCTTCTGCCGAATTGCAGTCTTTGTAATCCGGGCTGGAGATTTTAACTTCCTATAACATCACAAAGAAGCAGCTGATGAATCAGGCTGGAAGGCTTTCTGCTTAGATTAAGCAGGATTTGGAGCTTTCAAAAGGGGAAAGCCCAGAAAGGCTCAGAATAAAGATTATCCTACCCAGCATTTAAGAGAAAAGAAAAGAAAAGAAACTGGGGGTTGACACAAAACCCCATGATGACATGGAGAGGGTATCTAGGAGAGACAAGAGAATTTTGATGGCCACAAGGACAGACATGGTAAACCTACAAGGAAGTCGTAATGAACAGCTCTGAACCATCAACTCAGCGTCAGTCCAGCAATGGATTCACCACCAGACAGACTGGGCTGGGCCCTACATAAGTAGTTCCTAAATGTACTCATTACCTTGCTCATGTAATTGTAAACCCTCTGTACAGTATTTTCACAATTAAAAAAAAACTTATTAATTAAAAAAAAGAGAGAAGTCAGGCGCTGGTGGCTCACGCCTGTAATCCTAGCTACTCAGGAGGCTGAGATCTGAGGATCCCGGTTCAAAGCCAGCCCGGGCAGGAGAGACCGTGAGACTCCTATCTCCAATAAACCACCAGAAAACCGGAAGTGGCGCTGTAGCTCAAGTGGTAGAGTGCTCGCCTTGAGCTGAAGAGCTGAAGGACAGCGCCCAGGCCCAGAGTTCAAGCCCCACGACCGAAAAAAAAAAAAAAGAAAAGAGAGAGAGAAAGAATAAAGTAGTTCCTACAGTGTTCCTCATACTAAGAGCAGGTCTCTGGTGATAAAAGGCACATTAGTGGATGACAGAGATACTCTTGACTTTGACTGGACTCATCTCCATCTGTGAAGACAGAGAGAACACTCACTCATGGCCGGTCTGTAATTACAGCTTCTCTGACAAGACCCCAGCTTTTCAAGGGGTGCCCTTCAGGGCAGAGACATCACTAGCCTTGTAGATCTTAAAGGAACTCAGAATTTTCCATTGCCTGTGCTTCTTTTTAATCTCTGGGACTTGGAAGTGTAAGGAGACACTCTTCAAAGATCTAAGTCCACAGGGAGTTCTTGTTTCATAAGTACAGAGCTTCAGAAGAGGGAATGAAAAGGCCCAGGGGTAGACGGCAAGAATGGCAGCCCAACTATTTGAATAGCGCTTAATAATGCCAAATCACACATACTTAGAACTGGTTAAAATTGAGCTGGACCAGGAGAAGGATTGGGATTGGGGGGGAAGGGGGAGGCTGGGAAGGGATGTGAAGGATAAACAAAGGAGGAGGCTGCAATGCTTGGTAAGAAATGTACGCATTATCCTGCCCATGTAATTGTAACTCCTCTGTACAGCATGTTCACAAATAAAATAAAATTAAAAAAAAATTGAGCTGGACCTAGGGGGTTCACACCTGCAATCCTAACAACTCAGGAGGTAGAAATCTGAGGATCATAGTTCAAAGCCAGCCCAAACAGGAATGTCAGTGAGACGTTTATCTCCAATTAACCACCAAAAAAGCTGGAAGTGGAGCTGTGGCTCCAAGTGGTAGACTGCTAGCCCTGAGCCAAATAGGTCCAGGACAGTACCCAGGTCCTAGGACCAACATACACACATATAGACAAAGTATGTCTATTTTGCAATAAAAATATCTATCCAGCCAGGGGTGATGACAAATTCCTGGACATCACCACAAAATTGCTCTGAGGCTTAATGGGGGAAAGAGCTTTCTAAACACAGAAGATCAGGACAAATAGTAAGCTGTGTTCATGGACAAGCTAACAGATAAACTACTAGCTAAGCACATTGGGAGCTACTCACTGGGGGAAAAAAAATGATTTCACAGCTGCTCTGCGCTTCGTTACCAAGTAGACCGAGGAAAATGAAACTGAAAGATCCCAGCAGAGTCCTTTGTGCAGATCAGAGTACCTCCCTTTTCCTTTGGCATTGAGACTCTTCCTTTGGACCCACTGCAGGTGATTCAACTGATTTCCCTCACCCCAAATAGTCTTTCCTGAAATATGAACTCATTTCTTAGAAATGCTTATAGACATTTCTAAACTGCTTTGGAGAGATGAACCAACACACCCTGAGCATTTGTATACAGCAAATGCACAGGATCCCCTGCTTTTCTTTAGGCAGATGTCCTATTCTGATATGTTTAAACGGGGCAGAAAAACTGATCTTGAACATGAGAAAGAGACCTGTGATAAAGGCTTCATAGCAACCATTTCTATTTATGATCTCTTGCCATCAAACGACAAAATAAATGAACTTAATCCAATTATGCTGCCAATTACCCTGGATTTATCCAGGCTAGCTCCCCTTGAAATGGTGAAATCAAGGTGCATGGTACATTGCAGGTTCAGCAAAGAGTAATCTGCAGAGAGTAACTGTAACTATGACCCTTCTCCCTAAAGTTGGAAGGTCTTCCTTCAGCATTCTGAGTTCTCAAAGCTTTTGATTGCACATGCGTATTCCTACCCATCTGCAATCTCGATGGCTCACTGTCTCCTGTCCCAGACCCCAGCTGCCTTGCTCCCACCACCTATTCAAACTCCATTCTCTTCATTTCACCATGTCCTAGATAAGACTGTGTACACCTGTCTGTCCTTAAAGACCCCAGACAGAGCCTGGTTGTAACTTCCACACAGGTCGGGGTCACAGACCATGCTTCTGAGTTCCTGCTCTTGTGCATTCTTAGCACAACCATGAGGTGGGAGGTGCAGCTCATTCCAAGGGTTTGGTTTCTGTTCAAGGGCTGACCTAGTTTCTTTATGGGGGGGGGGGGCTGGCCTGAGTTCCTACTCTTTGTAGGATTGCAAAGTCCTTGCCACGTAAGCTCCACCCAAGCAAGGCATCCTGGCGGCTTACCATGATGTTGGAAGCAACCACTGTAGGGTCGTCACACACGGATTCAATGAAAAATGCCTAGTGGGGGGGCAAGAAGAAAATGTTAGGAAAGAACAAATTATCACACAAGGTCAGTGTCAGCACCACATCACCATGCCATATCAGATGACCTCAAAGTCATCTTGGAACCACCACATCCTCCACCCTTCCCGCAGACAAGTAAGTCCACAATCCCCAGCCCGATTTTCAGGGGGCAGAACTCAGACAGCCAGAGGCAAAGGACCCTGCGGGGATGAGGGAGCCCACTAGTGGGCTGAAGGCAGTTCTTCCTGCATGGGTTGCTGGAATGACATGCCACGTGAGCTCACCTTGAAGTCATTCTCTTTGGCAAAATGCAGGATCATGTGCCTTCTCTCTCTCGTGGTATTAGTAGCGTCAAAAACCTGATGGGGAAGCGAGAGGGGTCAGGAAGAGGAATCTAGGGGCTGGGAAGGTGGCTCAGTGGTAGAGCGCTTGCCTTGCATGCCTGAGGCCCTGAGTTCAATTCCTCAGCACCACATAAGCAAAAAGAAAAAAAGCTGGAAGTGGCACTGTGGCTCAAGTGGTAGAGCGCTAGCCTTGAGCTGAAGAGCTGAGGGCCAGTGCCCAGGCCCAGAGTTCAGACCCCACGACCCGACCCAAAAAAAAAAAAAAAAAAGGAAGAGGAATCTACATGTGAATGAGATGACAATGTTAACCAAAACTGCCCAACCCATCACACTTGCCATTGCCAGGAATAACCACAAAAGAGATGATCTCCCAGAAGTGACGGTAGTGCCCTACCCACCAGCCTCCAGGGACATGCTCCTAGAAGCTCCGCCCCCTCCCCCACCTCCCCCACAGCTCCTAGGCTTGGAAGGGAAAGGGTTGGAAGAGCAAATCAGCCAGCAGTAATATCCAGAGGGAGGGGCAATGGGGAAGGGCCACAGTGACTGGTTAGCAGCAACCCAGGTCCCGCCTACCTTGGAGGTGATGTCCAGCTGCCCACTGAGAAGGCGGGTGACAGAGGACACTGTGGCTAAGTCACTGAATCCACTAAGTCACTAGCTGCCCTAGCTACCAGCTTCCCACAACCCTCAAGGCCAGAGGCGCTTGTGTATCATCCCTGCAAATGGCTCTGGGCATGGCTTCAGGCCAGGGAGGACAGAGCCCTACCCGTTTAACCACGCCCACCCCCAGACTTACTGCAATCTGTCCCCCTTCCTTCGTCAGGTAACTCTTGACATCTCTCAGGGCAGCTAAGGCACACTGCCTGCAAGACAAGAGAAGACACGTGTCAGAGCATCTGCTATGACAGCTCGAGTAACCCCCTCCCTCACCTGTCCCAACACAGGCCTTGCGGGCTCTGAGCCTGCATAGTGCTAGCCAGATCTTCCCTGGCTTCCAATCCAAGGCCCCGCCCCGGGAGCCCTTGGGAGGTACACTGCAATCTTTCCTCTGGGAGCTTTTGAAAAAGCAGGGTTGGAGCCCACCTGGTCCTCAAGGACCAGCCCTGGGGTGGGGCTGGCATCAAAGGGATCTTGATGAGGTCTCCACTTTTCTACTGTGCCGTCAGAGCAAATTGCCACCACACAAGGGTTTCCCCGCCACCTCCAGTTTAACCAGAGATGGTGTCCCAATGCAAACAGATGATTCACAATGAAAAGGACTTTGTTCACTACCGGGAAGTAGTGGCTTTGGATCTAGCTGGCCTCAGCTCAGTTAAGCTATCTTGGAGCAGATCAAAGCTGAGTGTCTCACAGACATCTGCCCTGACACGGGATAGCTCTGATGGCCACCAGGGGAGAGCCAGACCACAGGCTGGCTTTCTCTTCCTCATACTGAATCTGGCTTAAAAACAAAGGAAAACTAGAAAAAAAAAAAAAAAGAACTTGTGTCTGCAAAGCAGCTCATATCTTACTTTCGGACTCTCATGGCTTCTTCATTGTCGGGGCGGAAGAAGTTATAGGAGCTGTACTGCTTCACAGCCTCACGCCGGTACTCTCCCACGTTAAACACTGGAGGGGACAACAAGGACAGCCCTGGATGAGCCAGCGGGAAGAAGGGAAAACCCACCACCAACATGACTCCGAATAGAATGACAACCTGACACGGAAAGCAGAGCGGGGCATTCACAGTCTGGATTTACCATCTCCTTCCTGCAGGCAGCCAGAGAGGAAGCAGCCCCGCGCCTCCCAGACCACACTATGGCGCCCACCACTACCTGCTTTTCCTGAGCCTGCCCTACAGCCCAGCCTCCAAACCCAGTCATCTATTACTGGGCCAAGACTGAGATAGTGAAAAAAGGGGAGAGCTATAGGTCGGTTAAAAAAAAAAAAAAAAGTACAGTGATCTTTTTGCCTGTGGTATCTATAAAGTGAGTGAGTCTCAGACCAAGGAAATGAACTTGATAGAAGGGGCTGAGGAGTAGCTCAGCATGTGCAAGGCCCTAGCTTCAATCCTAACACTCCCTCCCTTCCATAGAAGAAGTTGCTGAGAACTGCAGGAAAGATAGCAAATAGAAAAAAACTAATCTCTGTATGCCAGGTGCTGGTGAATCATACCTATAATCCTAGCTACTTAGGAAGCTGAGATCTGAGGCTCATGGTTCAAAGCTAGTCCCAAAAAATGAATCCAAGAGACTCTTACTTCCAATTAAGCCAGCAGAAAAGCCAGGAGTGGAGGTGTGGCTCAAGTGGTAGAACACCAGCCTTGAGCCAAAAAGCTCAACAAGAGCATGAGGCCCTGAGTTTGAGCCCCAGTCCCAGCACAAAAACAATCAAACAAAAACTTACTAGTCCCTATCCTCATTTCTTGTTTACTTGGGCAAAGTAGGCAGAGATACAACAACAGAAAAGCAGCGTGGAGCACTTGAGGACCAGCAGGAAAAGCAATGTTACCTCTAAATACAAAGGGAATTTCAAGGATAAGAGCTGCAGAGAATGAGGTGATGGGAGGAAGCGCCATGGAGCAGGTGGAACCTGAGTCAGGCAGGACTTAGGGGAGTGGGAAAGAGAAGATTGGTCAATGAGACCAAACCCAACAGGAAAAAAAGGGCGTGGACATAGCTGGATTGGGGACACAGCTGGAATGGGTGGTGGGATCAGATTTTATGACCCTGATACAGACCTACCCAGGAGGGGCCCTGCCTCTGGGCACCAACAACCAGAGGTAGAAGGTCAGGTTTTCAGGCCTGGCAAGCAGGCCATGATGTAAAGGCCTTAGCCCAGGGACCTGGCTCACCTTTCGTTGGGACTCCGATCCAGTTGAGGTAGCGAGTCAACTTCTTGGAGATGTAAGTCTTACCCCGGGCAGGAAGGCCCACCATGACAATCACCGTGGGTGAGTTGGTCAGCTTTGGCCCACAGGCTAGAAAAAGCAACAGAGAAAAGTCATCACTCAAGTGGCAAAAGGTGAAGAACTGAGTCCCACAACCTACAGACTTCAAAGAATAGCACAGGAAGTGGAGCTGTAGCTCAAGCAATAGCATGGCAGCCTTGAGCTGTCCCTTAGCACCCAGGGTCTGAGTTCAGGCTCCAGGACTGACAGATATATATACACACAAAGAATGGTATGAAAGTGTTATGTCATGTCCCATCCCAGAGCCCCTGGGACTTGACAATCCAATGAAATCAGATGCCCTCATGACCTAAGTCCCTCCTCGTGCAGCTCAATCATATTTTTCCAGGTTATACTTATGAACAAAGCAACAGTTTCAAATACAATCAGATATGACAGGCCCTTAGTTCCACCAAAGACTAACACTACAGAGCAGAACTCAAGGGCACAAGGAAGAAACCTAATACCAGGGAGTATGAAGTGAACAATACAGAGAGGAAATTTCCAAATGCAGAATATAAACTGAAGAGATAAAAGAGGGACATTAGCCAGGCACCAGGGGCTTGCTCACATCTGTAATCCTAGCTACTCAGGAGGCTGAGATCTGAGGATCATTGTTCAAATCCAGCATGGGTAGAGAAGTCCTGAGACTCATATCCCCAATTAACCACCAAAAAAGACAGAAATAGAGCTGTGGCTCAAAGTGGTAGAGTGCTAACCTTGAGCATAAAGCTCAGGAACAATGCCAGGCCCTGAATTCAAGCCTCAGAACTGACATAAAACAAGCACACACACACACACACACACACACACACACACACACACACAAACACACACAGGGATACTGGAGTTGACAATCAGAAAGCCAAGAGACTCGGGGCTGGGAAGGTGGCTCAAGTGGTAGAGCGCTAGCCTTGAGCTGAAGAGCTGAGGGACAGCACCTAGGCCCAGAGTTCAGGCCCCACGACTGGACCCAAAAAAAAAAGAAAAAGCAAAGAAAAGAAAGCCAAGAGACAGAAAAAAGACAACCTTTCTTTTAAAAATTAAAATAAATTTTAAAATAATTTTAAAAGCTAATTCTTAAAAGTATGAAAAGAAAGTAGATGAGAGACCCAGAACCCCAGACCCTATGGAGGGAGGGAGGGGACAGGTGAACACCCTCATCCTCGAACTGCTCACATTCTTTCCCGATCCTCCGGCCCCCTCCACTTTGCTGCCCCATTCTGAAGGGTGTCAGGTCTACCTAGGGGATTGCTGGCCACTGATCTCTGCTAGCTCTAGCAGAGATGTCCTTGACTTTGAATTCCCTCTGGGTCTCCACATTTGAATGAGTGACCCATATTCCTGAGAACCTCAGTAAAACAAAGTACCCGGGGCCAAGGTTTTCAGAAAGCTGACAAAAGCAGCTAGTCCTAGAAACTGAAGGCCCAGTATTTCTTTCCTAGGCTGTGTGAGACTCTCAGGCGACTACTGAATCCTAGTGACAAAGGAGATCGCATGCCAGAGGCCACCTGCCTACTCCACCCCGGCAGCCGTCATCACTTCTGAAGCTGGGGCCATATGGCCAATCCAGGCAGATGTCAGATCTGGACAGAGGCTAGGCCTCAAGGAGGAGCCTAAGGCTGCCCAGGCAGGGAGAGGGGACTGCCACCACCTTGGTTGGGTGATGATGCTATCAGTGCCTGCACATGATTAGAAAAAGCACCTCTAGCCCTGCACCTGTGGCTCACACCTGTAAGCCCAGCTACTCGGGAGGCTGAGATCATAATTAACCACCAGAAAACAGGAAGTGGCACTAAGGGCTTAAAGTGGTAGAATACTAGGCTTGAGTAAAAGAGCTCATGGACAGCGCCAGGTCCTGAGTTCAACAGAAAGGGGGGGGGAGTGAGGGAGGGAGGAAGGGAGAAAGGGAGGAAGGAAGGGGAAAGAAGAGAGGAAAGAAAGAGAGAGAGAAAGAAAGAAAGAAAGAGAAAGAGAGAGAGAGAAGGAGGAAGGGAGGAAGGGAGGGAGAGAGGGGAAAAGAAAGGATACCTGTAGGCCTAATATGGACATCAACCATGATCCCAAACCAAAGTGAATAATCTCCCAAACACCACAGTGCATTCTGGGCTCTGCTTTCCAGATGGGCAGGCTGGGGTTGCGTGGCGCGGGCGTGAGAGGCAGAGGTCAGCACCCAGGTGAGGAAGAGGAAGAAGTGGGGCTTTCTGGAGGCCAACTGTCAGAGGCCACACAAAGCCTTCCCTATCTCTGACATCCAGAGGCCTAGAAAGACAGATTCCTAGAAAACAGAAACTTATCTCGGCCCGCCCCTCCACCTCACTAGCGATAAGCAGCAGCTGGTGGGAACAATCCCCAAGGGGCTGGAGGCCCCTGGAGTCAAGCATTTTTCCTGAGCACGGCACGCCCAAAGGTGTCCAGGATGCTCTTTTAGCAGCGGCAGAAGAGCTTGCATGTAAGTGACAGGGACGACTCAAGTCAGATCACTTGTGTCTGGAACAAAACCCACCCACCCACTGGCCACAGTCGTCCTCCCCCTTCATTTCCCCACCTCTCTGGGGTCTCCGTGACCCCAAGCCACTACTCCTGAGAATATGCAGACACACCCAGAGTCAGACTCAGACACAAATGTGCACGCATATGCCAGGCTCTGGTTGGAACCAGGCCCTGGAGCCCAGGCAGCAGCTGACTGGGCTATCAAATCGGGGATTAAGTCCAGCCACTAATCACAGGAGCAAATCTCCTCTGACAGAAGACATTTGGGGAGGGAGAAAACAAACAAATCCATAAACAGCAGAGTTAATTCCTTCAGACCAAAGTTCAGGCTGAATTTCAAACCCAAACAAACCATTACTCCCTTTAGTGGGAGAAGCAGACACCACTCTACCCATAGGCTCAGATTTGGACGAGTACCAGAAACTGTACCTTTCTTTGTATCTTTTGGGCCTAGGGATCAAATCAACTTTTTATTCTTTCATCACCCTTACCACCCCTGGGAGGGGGGGCTGTTTCCCAAGTTGTACAACTCTTTTTTTTTTAATCAGTCCTAGTGCTTGAACTCATGGCCTGGGTGCTGTCCCTGAGCGTCTTTTGCTCAAGGCTAGCACTCTACCACTTGAGCCACAGAGCCATTTCTGGCTTTTTCTGTCTGTGTGGTACTGAGGAATCGAACCCAGGACTTCATGCATGCTACCCAAGCATTCTACCACTGAGCCACATTCCTAGTGTGTCATGTAACTCTATCTTCCTACCTCAGCCTCCAGATCACAGAAGTGCACTACCACTCCCAGCCCGTTTATTAAACTCTCAGCATATCTCAAATGTCTCCAAAACCTGGTTATCCCTATCCCTACCTGAATATTCCCCCCCCCAAGACAAGGGCAAAATAAAGCTATACAGAAACATTGCCACCCTAAGATCTCTCTGGAAAACAGGCTTAACTTTCCTGGTCCTTAGGAGACCAGAATGCAAGAAACACCAGCACAGACAGCTAGGCAGAATCATATAGCTGCTACTTGACTCACACTTCTCTCCCAGTATCATTGGATCAGCTTACAGTGCCCTCCAAGACTGCTGACAGTAATAGGAAGTGAGCCAGGCCTGAGATTACAGGGGCAAAGTGGGGGGGAGGGGATGGGAGGGGGAGAATGTAGACCATAGACTTTTTTTATCAAAAGCTCTTCTGCATTGGTAGACTGATCATCTTTGGTGCCTGGAAGGCCAGCCCCGTGTAATCTCTGCCAGCAACACCAGGAAGAAGCATTTCAGTGACTCACTGACAACTGAAAGGCAATACAATAGCACAGTATGAAGTGTGCAGCCTGGAGTCCCTTACACAAGAGTTCAAAGCCTGGCCATCACCTCCTTGGGCCTTGGACAAGTTAATCTCTCTGAGGTTTTGTCTTCCTTTCTGTACAATGAGGGGACAGTTCACACAGGCACTGGTGTGGAAATGAACCGTGACACAAGTCACTGGAACCGCTTACTGTACTGCCCTTCGTGGGGACCAGCCATCTTGGCTACCTCTCTTTTGGAGGCTCACGGCAAAAGCATCACGGGCTTAGTTCTCCTGTGGAATCCTCTCAAATGTCTTTTCCTTAAGCGAGTGGTACTGCTGGCTGAAATTAGAAACTTTTTAAAACATAATAACAGTGTATGTGAGTCCCACCAGGGGTAATTCTAACTCGGTGAGTACAGATTTTGCTTTTCCAAATCTCACGCAAATTATTCGAAGGTACAATCCTCGCTGAGAGTCCCTGCTACAATTTGTAGGGCACAAAGACTTCAGAGGTAATTCTCTGGAACAACCATCCTTCTCCCCTAAATTAGAGAACTATCGGTGTCTATTAACTCTCACGAGAAAATCTTCCTATCTGATGTGACACATCCACCTTCCTTCACATGCAACCAATCCCAGGCATTAAATCCTAAACAAAAATAGTTATCTTACTCTCCCGTATTTTGGAGATTAACAATTTTGTTAAGCACTTGGTGCTTTAAGATACTGTTTTTGTATCTACTTTTTAAGACAACTCTGCACTGACTCATATCAGTTACCTCCTTTGCTCCAAGGGGGAACGGCAACTTTTTAATCCTTTTTTCAATTAGCATATGTTAGTTATATAAAATAGCAACTCGATGTAGTAGCACAGTAATCCCAGCCCAACAGAGGTTAAAAGTTAGGAGGATTATAAGTTTGAGGCTAGCCTGGGCTACTTTAGAGACCCAGCCTCAAAAAAAAAAGAAAAGAAAAGAAAACTGCACACGCTAACGGGTTTCATTAAGACATTTTCTGTACATGTACCTAACATACTTTGAGACCACATAGTCACCCCATGTCACCTTTTATCCAATGCCTGTCAAGTTCCGGTGCACTTTTGAGGACCCATCATATTGAGAAAGGAGAGGATCCAGGATACTACCTTCCTTCCTTCACCCTCTTCCCCAACCCCTATTCCATACACTCATTAAGCCTGTAGAAACATAAACTTTTTTTTTTTTTGGTCCGTCCCTGGGGCTTGAACTCTGGGCCTGGCACTCTTCCACACTCTACCTAACACTTGAGCTACAGTGCCACTTTTGGTTTTCTGGTGGCTAATTGGAGATAAGAGTCTCATGGACTTTCCTGCCTGAGCTGGTTTTGAATCTTGATCCTCAGATCTCAGCCTCCTGCGTAGCTAGGATTACAGGCGTGAGCCACTAGCACCCCGCCATGTAACCTTCTTTACAGAAGAGGAAACTGAGGTTCTGAGTGGTTAGTAACTCAGATTAAGTTGGAAGGCTTCCAATGTTTAGTTTTTAAAAAAAATTACTGGGCTCGGAAGGTGGCTTAGTGGTAGAGCACTTGCCTTGCATGCTCGAGGCCCTGGGTTCCATTCCTCAGCACCACATAAGAAAAAAAAAGCCGGAAGTGGCGCTGTGGCTCAAGTGGTAGAGTGCTAGCCTTGAGCTGAAGAGCTTAGGGACAGTGCCCAGGCCCAGAGTTCAGGCCTCACAACCGGGCCCCCCCCCCAAAAAAAATTACTGAACAGAAGCAGAACCAACTCTTGCTAGCCCAGAACTCACATCTGTCTCGTCAGCTAAGCTGATTCACACATTCAGTATGTCTAATGACCTGGAGTCATGATTCCAATTGATGCAAGCACTGATTTGAAAGAAGCACCCACCGCCATGTTGGTGGAGGAACACTTAACCCAGAGGCACAAGTATCTCCATCCCCACATCTGGGTTGATCTCCCACTGTTCCTAGTATTTGCTTGTATTTGGCAGGAACCCCGCCCCCTTGGTGGTAAGCCTCAGGAGTCAGGGTATCAGGACTGTAACAGATTTAGGAAAAAGTAAACTCGTGCATGATTCCAAATGTCATTAGAGAAGAAATGTACTTTTTGGCATTCCGATAAGAGTCCAATGGAGCCATATAAGCCGACAGTCACCACCTGAACACGTGCGTAATCAGTGCCCAGATGTGGAGACTTTTCTAAGAAGGAATGTATCTGAGCCCACACCCCAGAGTCACACAGCAGGCTTCCCGGAGGGGCGGGCCAGGCCCAGAGAGCTTACTTAGGTTTAGGTACACACACCACACCTCTCCTCTCCCAAAGCTCTGAATGGTTCTTGCAGCCATTCCTTGCAAAATCTCTTGGCTTCGTGAGAAACGTGTGGCTTCGTGAGAAGCCTGGGCTTTGTGGAGTCTAATGGACCGGTTTGTGAAGCCTTGGGGAGAAGGCGAGGTGGAAGCTGCTGTCCCTCTAAATCACTGCTGAGCCACACTAACCAAACTCTGTGACCCTGAAGAAACTTGGGACATTCATCTCAGACCAAACTTGGGGCTGGGGGGGGGGTACATCATACAATCAGACACACAAAAAAAGCATTAGGGGCCCCACTAAAGTTTATGAAGTGCCCTGTACAAAATATTGGTTTAATTCAAAAGTCCAAAAGAGACATACGCTAGACCTGGTCATGCCCAAATCCCCCTGGGTGAGAGCTATCATTTTATTTTCTTCAATCTTCATTTAATTGTGAGACAGGATCTTCTGAGGTCTGGCCTCAAACTCACCAGAGTGTCCTGACTCAGTGCTGGGATTACAGACATAAGCTACCACTCCAATCATTGGCTGAGGTATTCTTATGAAAACAAAGTAAAAGACAACCAGAATCTCCCCCCCCCCTCCCCTGCATTTAGCAGATGCCTCTCAACGTTCTCTAGGGAACCAGCGGCACACCTGCCAAGCCATCTACCACTGGCCACTTAGCCAGGAAGGGAGGGAGAACAAGACTCCTCCTAGTGGCTGCTTCCCCCCAGACCCTGGGGTCCAGCACAGGGCCCCGAGGGCGCCCCGCCCCGGAGGCTGGGACAGGTCTGCGCAGGGCAGCCGGTGACTCAGAGCTGGCCCATCTCCAGGCGAGTGTCCCATCCCGAGGTGGCCATCCAGGGAAACGTGGCAGTGGAGAAAACCCTAGCCGGCCACCTGGCAGGCATACAGGTGCGCCCCATGCCCACAGGCTCCTCCCAGGGTTTAAACCTGGGGTCCGAGGTGGCTCCTCAGACGGCAGACCCGCACTTGGCACCGTACCACTGACCACCCTACGGGCGCCTGGCCCCTCCAATCGCCCTTTCCAGAGGCGGCGCTGCATCTGAAGCGGGAACCCACTTTGGACAGAGCACCACGGGCGCACTGCCAGCGAATCCGGAGTCCGGGGAGTGTGAGCGCACGTGTGAAATGCCACTGACCGTGCAATCACCCACCCTCGGCCTGTCCACACACACCCCCATGCAAAGTCGACAGAGGAAGCGTGATCCGGGTCGCCCTCGGCTCGTCCCCAACCCCAGACGCACCTGCAGCCCCCGGAATAGGAGAGGAAGGTGGGGATTCACCGATAGGAAAGTGGGGGTCACGAACCACGGGCAGACAGCGAGAAAGCATGGAGAGATCGAGTAGAAAGGGGGGGGACACGAATCTGAAGTGAAGGGGGTGGGTTGGGAGAGGTGAAAATCAAGGGTGACGGTGATAAGGACCCACTGTATCCATAACCCGCTTTGTTGAATGCCAATTCCTCGGTGCAACTACTTAAACATGATAAAATATTCAAAAAAAAAAAGAATCCGATGTGTGCGAAGCGAGAGGAGAGATGAACGTGCGTGCAGAGGTGCACAAATGTGTGCAACAGGAGCCAGGGGAGATGGGCGTGCAGACGGGTGCGGAACGTGTGACTCGTGAGGGCAGATGGGCGTGCAGAGAGGTGCAGAGATGAGGGAGGAGGGAGAGGAGAGGAGAGGAGAGGGGCGGGGAAGCGGGCGGGCGGACGGC